CCCAGCTATTTTTTGGTTGCAGCCATCATTGTTGTTTGCCGAGCCTGGGCTGGATTCAAACCCACCACCTTAGGTGTAGGTGGCTGGCGCCTTAGTCACTTGAGCCACAGGCGCTGAGCTGAATATAAATGCCTTAACACAACAACTAAGAAAATGACATGAAGGCTATGTTAACCAGTTGGATGAACGTATTCCAAATTGTATATAGTAACAACCTGCTGTACCCCATAATAGTATTAATGTACACAGCTATGACTTAATAAAAAAATTTAAAAAAAAATCTGGCCCCAGGCTTGGTGCCCATGCTCAGTGGTTAGGGTGCAGGCCACATGGACCAGGGCTGCTAAACAACAACAACAACAAAAAAATAGCTGGGCATTGTGGCGGGCACCTATAGTCTCAGCTACTCCTGAGGCTGAGGCAAGAGATTTGCTTGAGCTGAAAAGTTTGAAGTTGGTGTGAGCTATGACACCATAGCACACTACTGAGGGTGACATGGTGAAACTCTGTCTCAAAAAATAAAAAAAAATTCAGGCCCCAAAGAGAGAGGAAGAACCCAGTTTCATGAGATTTAGATTTAATCATGAAAAGCAACATTAACAATAGCTACATTATTTTTCAGAGCTTCCTATGTGCCTGGTAATGTAAGTACTTTACTTACTCTGATGCTCCCAAAAAATCCTGGGAAGAAGGTGTCAGTATCACTAAGGAATTCAAGTACTCACTCTTGGTTCTCCTCCTGCCTCTCTTGCTATTCTATCTCAGTTTCCTTGGCTGAATTTTCATCTATAAATCTTCTAAATATAAAATTACACAAATCAGGCTGGGTGTGGGGCAGGGCATTATAGCCTGGAGAACACAGTGAGACTCTGCCTCAAAAAAAAAAAAAAAAAAAAAAAAGATAAAAGCTTCAGTCTTTGGACCCCCTCTCTGTAACTACATTTTCTTCCTAGATGCCTTCATCCATCTCTGTGGCTTCAAAGATTAGGTTCAGGCTGTAGATTCCTAAATGTTATCTCTAGCTCTGACTTGTATGTCACATAGACAACTTCCTACTCAAACTTGAATTTGGATATCTAGCGGGCTTAATATTCCAGAAGATCATTTTTGATGATTTCACCTTTTAAATCTACTTTTCTACTTTAGGAAGTTGGGGCAGGAGAATCACTTGCGGCAATACAACAAGATCCCATCCCTACAAAACATATATATATTTTTTTGAGACAGAGCCTCAAGCTATCCCCCTGGGTAGAGTGCTGTGGCATCACAGCTAACAGCAACCTCCAACTCCTGGGCTCAAGCAAGTCTACTGCCTCAGCCTCCCAAGTAGCTGTGGCTCAAGCGGCTAAGGTGTCCGCCACAATGCCCAACTATTTTTTGGTTGCAGCCATTGTTGTTTGGTGGGTCCGGGCTGGATTTGAACCCGCCACCTTAGGTGTATGTGGCTGGCACCTTAGCCACTTGAGCCACAGGCACTGAGCCCACAAAATATGTTTTTAAAGATGATAATAAAGGCTGGGTGCAGTGGCTCATGTCTATAATCCTAGCACTCTGGGAGGCTGAGGTGGGTAGATTGCTTGAGCTCACGGGCTGGAGACCAGCCTGAGCAACACTGAGACTATATCTCTACTAAAAAATAGAAAAACTGAGGCAAGAGGATCACTTGGTTGCTGTGATCAATGATGCCACAGCACTCTGCTCAGGGTGACAGTTTGAGACGCTGTCTCAAAAAAATAAAGATGATAATAATATGAAAACATTCTGCACCTCCCTCAGTCTTTCCCATGTTTCTACCTTTCCCCACAGCCTATCCATTAGTAAATTCTCTTGATCCTACTATTTAAATTGAGTGAGGACCTGACCCTTTCTCATCATCTCACATCCAGCCCCTTTTCCAAGCCACCATCTCTAGATTATTGTAAGACCCTCATCTGTTGGTCTCCCTAATTTTATGTGCCCTTATTCTCTAAAATCCCCTCTTCAAGCAGTAGTGAGTGACCCTTTAAAAATGCAAGTGGTTCATACCACAGCAGTACATCAAACTGTCCAGTGGTTTCCTGTCTCATTCTGAATAAAAGTCAAAGTCCTTATAGCCACAGACAACACAACACGCTGCTGGGTATGACCCCAAACCACCTCTCTGACTGCCAAGCCCACTCCCTACCCTCCCTTCTACCCATTCCTCTCTCTAGAAGGATCCTGTTCCTTACTGTTTTTTCTTTTTTTTTTCCCCAGAAAATCTTCCTGGCTTCCTCTCTTCACTTTTTCAGGTTTTTGTTCAAATGGTAAGTCCTCTTTAATTGTTTGAGACAGAGTCTCATTCTGTCACCCCAGCTAGAGTGCAGTGGTATTATCATAGCTCACAGCAACCTCAAACTCTTGGGCTCAAGAAATCTTCTTGCCTCAACCTCCCAATGTGGCTGGGAATACAGGCACCTGCCACAATGCGCTGCTAGTTTTTCTATTTGTAGAGAAGGGTGTCTAAGCTTTGCTCAGGCTAACCTCCAATCCTGACCTCAGGCAATCCATCTGCCTCTGGAATTACAGGCATGCTGGAATTGCATGAGGCACTGTGCCTGGCCCAAATGGCAACTCTTTACAGAGGTTTCTTTTTGCTTCCCCCCACTCACCTTTATCTACAGTAGAAACTCACCTTTCCCCCAGGACACCCCCAGTCACTCTACCCTGACTTATTTTGCATCACAGTTCTTAAATGTCCTCCCAATTTTATAGAGCTTACTCTGAGCGCAAATTTGGTCCATTTTGTTCTCTGCTGTATCCCCAGAATCTCAAATAGTGCCTGGTACTGAAGATGTGTTCAATAAGTAAATGTTGGATGAGTAAGTTACATCCCCAGTGCTCAGTAGTATAACCCAGGGGAAATCATATTACCTTTTCTAAGATTCAGTTCTCTCCTTCTCAAAGGAGAAGTGAGCTAGGTAGTCTCAAAACACATTAATTCAACAAATATTTCATCAAACCTACTTTGTGTCTGACACTAGGCAGATATATCAGTTATGGATCACAGTCCCTTATCTCAAGTCGTTTGTTGTCCAGTGGGCTAATCAGTCATATGGGAAATTACCGCAGGAGGGCTTCCAGAGTTAGGCGATAGGTAGGTGGAGAGGGAGAGGGAGCCCATCCACCTGTGCACAAGGAATCATTCCAGTCTGTGAGAAAAGGGAAGGCAGGGGCGTATTAAACTTGCCCGCTTTCTCCCCACATCTAGCTGTAGACTCTTAACGACACCGTATCTTACCTATTTAATTGAGTACATTTACTGAAGGGAGAAGCGGCATAGGGATGGAGAGTTGGGGAAGAAAATGTGTTCTATTCCAGCTTTAAAACTATGGCATCTCTGTTAAAAATCTACTTTACAAAGCGAGCGCGCTTAGGGTTGGACCTTTACACTGTTCCCCGGCGCCAAAAATACAGATCACATCCCATTCAACCTTGGAGGCCCGCTGCACAGTGCAAAGGTCCCCAACGTTTGCTCCGCCCCGCGTTTCTGAGAGCGCCGGCGTCGGTGAGCGCGGCAACTTCGGCGCTGAGCAAGACCGCAGAACGACGTCAGCTGGGACATCAGCCCGCGGGAAAGCGACCTGTCTCTCTCCGGGATCTTCACGGTCGGCTCTTACCCCGAGTTCTCGGGTGTTCTAGATGGTTGGCCCCCCGCAATCCCCTGCGCCAACCTGGGAGGAGTCGACCTCTTGGGACTGTACCAACTCATAAGTGCAGGGGTAAAGTGGCTAAATATCGTGAGATGAGGGAGGTAAGACGAGGAAAGAAATCACTTGGATGATAAACAAAGAAATATTATTTATTTAAGTGTCTTGTGAAGCTTCTTTTTTCTTAGATCAATGTTTCTTTCCAATCTTCCCACCCAAAACAATCCTTCCCTCCCCCTATACGTGGCCCGGCCGGCCTTTGGTCTCTCCCGCGCCGGGTGACCCTGCAGTCACGTGCTCCTCCTGTCCTCCTGGCGGAACGTGCATCCTGCAGTGGGGACATCTGAGCCATGGCAGCCCTGCTGAGACCCGCCCGCTGGCTCCTCCGGGCCGGGGCTGCCCCGCGCCTCCCGCTGTCGCTGCGCCTCCTCACGAGCGGTCCAGGCTGGCCGCACGCAGGTGTTTGTCTGCCTGCGCCAGCCCGGCCGGTCTCCGGGTGAGTGTCCAGGCCCTTCTTCCAGCCAGGCTGCGGCTCTGGGGACCCCGGTGGTCGTTAGCTTTGTTGGGGTTCGGGTGTAACTTCTGATCTGTCCTCGCTCTTCGCCGCTCCAGGAGCAATTCTCTTCAGGCTTCAGGCCACGCTCCTCACTGGAGGTTTTCGGGTGACAGGGGCAGGCACCTGCAGAAGGTCATGGCTGCGGGCATGGCTTGCTTCCGGCGTGGATCCTGCTCTTGCCCATTCGAACTGGATCCTCCTGCTGTTGGGCTACCAGTGACCGAGAACGCCGAGGGGGCATTGCAGGTTGCTGTGGGGGGTCGGGTGGCATTCTTCTCTTTAACGTTTGGTGGTCTTGGGTGGGGTCCCACGTGGAATCATAGGATCACTATTGGTAATCAGTAGTCGTCCAGTATTTAGATTTTGAGAGTTTTAGTTTTTTAGGTTGGAAGCTTCGGGTGAGCTAGGGATAGCTTAGAGCTGGGCGTTTTATTGTGATCAGTTTGGGCTTTTGCCTGCACTTTCTTATCTTTTTAGACAGTCTTGCTCTGTCGTGCAGGCTAGAGTGCGTTGGTGTCATAGCTTACTGCATTCTCAGATGCTCAAGTGATCCTCCGATTTCAGCCTCCCAAATAGCTGGAACTGTAGGCGCCTGCCACCACGCCTAGGTAACTTTTGTATTTCTCATAGAAGCCAGGTCTTGCTCTTGCTCAGCCTGATCTTGTACTCCTGGTCTCAAACAATCTTCCTACCTCGGCCTCCCATAATACTAGGAGTAGTGTCGTGGACCACCCCTCTCAGCCTGCCTGCGTTTTCTTGAAAGATTTCCTTTAATATTTTGAAAAGTGTTTTTTGTGGCTTGGGGATTGTCACAATGGGATGTATCACTGAATGAGTAATGAATACATGCAGGGGACTCTGTTGGGATCTGGGGATGCAAAGACAAGTTAAACTTAACAGTAGGATGGTTTGAGATTTATCAAGAAGTAAGTTTGGTATAGACTTTAGGAGAGGGGATAAGGAAAGTTGATCCAAGTGTTAATTTGAGTAGTACTCTGACCACCAGAGAAGGGGAGGTGGGTACTGAGGTTTTAGCTTTGGAGAAAAACTGATTTTGAAAGACTAATGCTAGCTCCCAAGCCCAAAGTCTGGGCTGGACTGTGCTCTTCAATTTATTTGCATTATGCCTTCAAGCAAGTTACTTAACATCTTCAGGCCTCAGTTTCCTTAGCAGTAAGGTAGGAGCAGTAGTAGTATTGTTAGGAGTATTGCATGAGATTGTACTAAGCACCTAATATAGGGTTTGATACCATAATAAATGCTTTGTTACTGTAAAAGCAGTAATACCTACGATAATATAGACTTTTGTGGACCAGCTTGGAAACTTAATCTCTTCATAAAGTAATGTGGAGGAAAAAAAATTTTCATTTTGTTTTTTGAGACTGAGTCTCATTATGTCACCCTCGTGGCATCACAACTCACAGCAACCTCAAATTCTTGGGCTTAAGTGATTCTCTTGCTTCAGTCTCCCAAGTAGCTGGGGCTACAGGCACCTGCTACAAAACCTGGCTATTTTTTGGTTGCAGTTGTCATAGTTGTTTAGCTGGTTTGGGCTGGGTTTTAACCTGCCAGCCTCGGTGCATGTGGCTAGTAGTGTGGCTAGTAGGCACTGTGCGTTGGTGCCTGGAGGAAATGTTTTATGATTTCTTAACAACTTAGTTATAAATCTTTGGAATGTAGCCTACTTGTAATTTGGAGCCTTTTATGAAATCTGAACAGTTATCCTTCAGAAATCATGCCTCTGAACACAAAATCACGTCTTTTGGGTTCTAAAGGGTTTCTTTTGATAAAGCTGTGGCAGTTGTTTTTATTTCTCTAGTCCTTAATATCCCTGTGAGGTTAGAGGAGAATCAATGTTATCAATATTATTATTCATCTTCACTATTGTAGAAGAAAACTGAATAAAGTGTGAACACCAGCCAGGGACGGTGACTCACATTCAACACTCTTGGGGCTGAGGCAGGCGGATTGCTTGAGACCAAGAGTTCCAGACCTGGCTGAGCAAGAACAAAACCTCATCTCTACAAAAAACAGAAAAATTAGTCAGATGTGGTGGTGAATTCCTGTATTCCCAGGTATTCGTGAGACTGAGGTGAGAGGATCACTTGAGGCCAGGAATTTGAGATTGCCTTGAGCTACAATAATGCCAGTATGCCACAAACAAACAAACAAAAAAGAGTGAACACAGTTGAGCAGAGAGGTATTAGATTAATCTGAGTGATAAACAGATTTGGATCTCATTTACCTACTGTGTGATTAGATGTTTTACTAACCTGTCTGAACCTCAGTTTCTTATCTGTAGCGGTAACAAGGCCTTCCCTCCTTATCTTTGTAAAGCTGGTTTCTGTCACTCAGGACTCAAATGTCTCGAGAGGAGCCTTCAGCATTCGGTCTGAAAAATGACGTGTCCTATTTTAGTTTTATCCATGGCATATTTATATCTCGCTTGCCTTATTATTTATTTTCTCCTTGTTGGTTTCTTTAGTAGAGAGTATGCTGCATGAGAGCAGGACTTTGTCTTGTTAACCACTATATGCTCAGGTTATAGGTGGCAATGAAGAAGTACAGTGTGAACATAAAGTTCACGTACATTTTAAAATAGTTTAACATAGTAAATTGCACACGAACTTTATTTCCACCCTGTATTTGCAACTTCTTTCTCCTAAACTCTGAACACCCTATACAGTCTCCTATCCCACAGCCTGTAAACATGTCTGGATCTTTCCTATTTGAAAAACAAAATTGTTACGGTCGGGCGCAGTGGCTCATACCTGTAATCCTAGCACTCTGTGAGGCCGAGGCAGGTGGATTGCCTGAGCTCACCAGTTGGAGACCAACCTGAGCCAGAGTGAGACCTCAGAGACCTTGCCTCTAAAAAATAGCCAGGTGCTGTGGCGGGTGCCTGTAATCCCAACTACTTGGGAGCCTGAGGCAAGAGAATTGCTTGAGCAATCTCAAGTGTTTGAGATTGCTGTGAGCAGTAATGCCACGGCACTCTACCCAGGGTGACAAAGTGAGACTGTCTAAAAAAACCCCAACACCCCCCCCCCACAAAAAAAAAAACCTTTGCAGGGACTGTGTATTTGTTCTCCAGTGTCCCTGGTCTTTCTTCTCTGTCCATGCTCTACTGTCTCTTTTGTTTCCTCACTTTTCTTTCTTTTTTTTAACTTTTTTTTTTTTGCAGTTTTGGCCAGGGCCGGGCTTGAACCCGCCACCCTGGGTATGTGGGACTACAGCGCCCTACTCCTTGAGCCACAGGCATTGCCCAGTTTCCTCACTTTTCATTTCATTCATTCTTTTAGCCACTGCAGTCACACCACTGGCAAAGGCCATCATTGTCTTGGATTTAATTTTTTATTGCATATTAAAAATATATAAAACACATACCTTAAGGAACAATTGCAAAACCCGGGGGAAAACATTAAAAATCCCCCCTAATTCTGTCACCCAGAGACTCATTGGTAGATAACCTCCTAATCACTTACGTGTGTGTAAAATATATGTTTACCTCATTTAATTTTCCCAAAGGACCTCTTTTATTTATTTATTTATTTTTTTGAGACAGACCCTCAAGCTATCACCCTGGGTAGAGTGCTGTGGCATCATAGCTCACAGCAACCTCCAACTCCTGGGCTTAAGCGATTCTCTTG